CTAGCATGTTAGATATTAGGATAGCCACACCTGCTTGCTTCTTGGGTCCATTTGATTGGAAGCTCTTTTCCCAACCCTTTACCCTGAGGTAATGTCTATCTTTGAAGCTTAGATATGTTTCTTGTATGCAGCAGAAGGATGGATTCTGTCTTTGTTTCCATTCTGTTAGCCTGTGTGTTTTTATAGGTTAGTTAAGAACATTAATGTTGAGGGTGAATAAGGGCCATTGATTGTTGATGCTTGTTTGTTTTATGTTTGTTGTTGGCAGTAGTATTGTGAATATATTTGTTCTGCTTTACCCTTGGTTTCTGGTGTAGTTGGATTATCTGTTGCTTACATTTTTGTGGGCATAGTTAACTTCCTTGGGTTGGAGATTTCCTTACAAAACTTTCTGTAGTGCTGGATTTGTAGACTCATATTGTGAAAATCTGGTTTTGCCATTAAATATCTTGTTTTCTCCATCTATAGTGATTGAGAGTTTTGCTGGGTATAGCAGCCTGGGCTTGCATCCGTGTTCTCTTAATATTTGTAGAACATCTATCCAGGACCTTCTGGCCTAGAGGTTTTCCATGGAGAAGTCATGTGTAATTTTGATTGGTCTGCCTTTATATGTTATTTATCCTTTTTCCTTCGTGGCTCTTAATATTCGTTTTTATTCTGTATGCTAGATGTTTTGATTATTATATGTCGAGGGGTCTTTTTTCTTTGGTCCAGCCTATTTCGGGTTCGGTATGTTTCTTGTACTTTCATGGGCATGCTCTTCTTCAGATTGGGAAAGTTTTCCTCGATGATTTTGTTGAATATGTTTTCAGCACCTTTGAGCTGGGCTTCCTCTCCTTTCTCTATGCCTATTATTCTTAGCTTTGGCCTTTTCACGGTGTCCCACATTTCCTGGATGTTTTGTGTTAAGGATTTGTTGGATTTATCATTTTCTTTGGTCGATGTATCTATTTCTTCTAGTTTATCCTCTGTGCCTGAGGTTCTTTCTTCCATCTCTTGCATTTTGTTGGTTATGCTTGCGTCTGTAGTTCCTGATTTTTTTCACAGTTTTTCTATTTCCAGCATTCCTTCGGTTTGTGTTGTCTTTATTTTCTCTATTTCAGTTTTCAAGTCTTGAACCGTTTCCTTCACCTGCTTAATTGCTTTTTTCTTGGCTTTCTGTACTTTCTTTACTTTCCTTAAGGAATTTGTTCATTTCTTCCACTTTTTTGTTTGTTTTTTCTTCTATTTTTTAAAGGGATTTTCTCACATCTTTGAGGGCCTCTATTAATTTTATGATGGTAATTTTTAAGTCTTTCCCTTCTGCTTCCTCTGCTTTGTTGTTGTGTTCAGTTCTAGTTGGGGTAGATTCCCTAGATTCTGGTGGTGTCATGCTTGTCTTTCTGTTGTTAGGTGTTTTTTTGCATTGCTGTCTTCCCATACCTTCTTCCAGTAGGTGTTGGTAGGGTCTCTCCATCTCTATGGTTCTTCCCTGGTGGGCTTAGGTGGGTCAGTGGTTCATTATCTGTAGCTCTGGGTAGTCTAAGCTCTCTAGGAGGTCTCTCCACAGATAGGGGCCCAGGGATGGGGTCAGCAATGAGGATCCAGTATAAGATGCTGGCAGGAACTCAGAGTGGTCCCACAGAGATAGGCAGATCTCTGGGTGCGTTCTGGGACTCCAGCAGAGGACCAGCAGTGGGGGGTCAGAGACCAAGCAAGTGGAAATTATGGGTGGTCCCGCATGGGTAGGCAGGTCTCTTGTGTTCAGAGTCGCTTTGAGAAGTCCCCCAAAGTAGTGTGTACTGTTGGGTCCACCCTATGTCCCAGTGTTCAACCAGAGCAGCAGCAGGACAGTAGGCAGGGTAGAGCAGAGGGTAGGGGGGGCAGGCTCGTGGTGCGGATGGGTGGGGGTGTATCAGAGCTCCAAGGATGCTCTTTATGGGGACAGGACACAGGACACAGATTCTTAATTTGTACAGATGTATAGTTTTAAATAGACAGAGAAGTTCTATAAAGATTTTCCTTGCTGTTCTCTTGATTTACAGTTATAATTCATTTAGATTCTTTCTTGCTAATTCTTCTTATTGCTCCTTTAAGCTTATTATTTGCAACAACATTATTGTTCTTTATCAGCAAGTAAATAATTTTCTCACTCCACATTAGGTCCTGTTTCCCTCCAGGCCTCCTCTTTTCTTCTTGTTCACTTCTTTATGAGTGGAAAATTTAATTAAAGCTATAATGAATGGGCAACTTAATATTTACGTATGATCCAATGGGGGAAAACAAGAGAGAGCATCTCCAGCTTTGAGGGAATGAACTTTACCCAATGATTAAACCACTATGTTAATCAATTGCATCATTGTCCAGCCCTACAGTTACTCTCTGCCTACTTTGCTGACAGAATAAAAGCTCACAAGAAACATTCCCACTGTACAAACAGTTCTCATTTTTCTTTTACAGCTTAATCTTTGTGCATGCTTCCATTTGAAGAGAACTGAATCAGGTCATTTCATTTCTTTCACGGGATCATCTGGACAGGTTGTATTTTATTGTTGATATTAGCACATTTGAAATATAGAAAATACAAAATTTGTGTCACTTACTAAGTTGTTATATATAGAAGGTTGATAAACTCTATACTGATACCATGCCTAATTATTTAAAGCCTTTTAAAATTCATTGTTACAAAAAATTTATATATGTTTTGATGTTTAAATATCTTTAAAATAAAATTTAGTTATTGTAAATGCCTGGGAAGTTCTAAATGCAATTGCTATAAAGGATCTTGAAACTGTTATTACTATATTCTTAGATAAACAGATTAATCAACACAGCAAATGTCTAGATTTATTAATAAATAATTCATGTGGACTTCATTTGTAGGATACAATTCATTTTTGATAGAATTTTTGATGGTAAAAGCTAGCAAATCAAAAATACAATCTAATAATTAGAGTAATAAACCTTTCTCAGAATCCCCTTTGTATCACAGTGTTGTGGCAGAAATATATACAAAAAAGACATCTTCTACTTCCAGCCACTTTACCTAAATCCAGAGTAAAACAGAACTTGACAAAAATTTTCAATATTTATCTTAGAAAGAAGTGAAGGTGATCATGGAGAGAAGGGCAGTAGGGTGAAGTTTAGTTAGGAGATAGAAGAAGAAATGACAGTCATTTTAAACAATTTGTTCTCCTGTTTCTCTGTGACTGGTGCCTATTTCCCTTATGAAATAATGCTGACAACTTTTGACTAAAATATACATGTTAGGGGAAACATATAGATAGTGAATCTATGTTATAGTTTGAGACAATTTATGAAAAAATGAGGGTAGGAAAGAAGCCTTTGATGCCAGAACTTTCAATATGAGTCCAAGTTAATTATGAAGTGACAGCATGAGATTAGGCTACTGCTTAGTAATGGGTTAGTCACGTCCAGTTGAATTCTAACCAGTTTTTAGAAATACAGTTCAATCTACAAGTTCATTTGAATAAACAGATTATAGTATAAATGTTGATTATTACAGTTCTTTTTTTTTTTAGAAATAAACATTTATTTCTTGTAAATATCTCTTTTCAGTAAGCTTGGAGAAAATTCTGAAAATAAGCTGATGGCTGATTTCTGTTTTTGGACTATAACTAATATTTTCAAATTATTAAGTTTATGTGATTCAGGTATTTCAGAGTTGAAATTGCAGAGACTGAGATATTTTCCCCTTTGGGAGGAATAGTCATGACTATACAAGCTATTCTCTGAGTAACAACAAACAAAAGACTAAGTGTCACTTGATGTCTTCCTTCTAGTGTGTGCTTTATTGAAATGAATATCATCCTGGATTGGTTGTCTTAGAGACGTTCAGAGAATAAGCGCCATGAAAAACAACTAAAGTGAGGAAGCAAAGTATTAATTAAGAATTTCTCTAAGATCTTTGAATTTATGAACATATTCTTGAAAAGTGTTATTGGCACATGCTTTTCCTGATTGAACAATTGTGTTCCCATGCCATTTTCCTTGACCCAATGAGGCCTTTCCCATTCTGTAGTTAAAACCTTGATCAGGGAGTGAATTAGAATCATTCTGCTGAAGCTTATCATTTTGGAGCAAATCACTCATTAAGAAGGTCAATTATTTTTTAGAGTAAGTGAGAAAAGTAAAATCAAGATCAATGACTCCAAACAATTTTTCTATAACCTCAGCATTCCTCAGACATAAGTTTTAGAGTATCTTAACTTTGCTTCCCTTTAAATATGTTTATCAAAGCCTGGTGGTGGTGGCACTCACTTTTAACGCCAGCACTTGGGAGGCACCTGGTCCACAGAGCTAGTTCCAGGACATGCTCCAAAGCTACACAGAGAAACCATGTCTCGCAATTCAAATAAATAAATAAATCTATCAAATATTTGAAATCCTTTCATTCAACAACATATATTCAGGAACTAAGACAGATTTGGGTTCAATACTAGACAGTACCCTTATAAAGTAGCAGCCTGTATTTATTATTTAATAAAGACACAATTGAAGCCTGTACTGAAATATGGCTACATTTTAAGACTTCTTAGTCTTTTCATATGCTTTATCAATTTTGACAAAATTGAAGATTATTTTTCCATCCATCATAGAATCTTACATATGTATGTTTATATAAATATAGGTATAGGTATATATACCCTACACTACACTGTTTAAATTATACTCTACACCATCTTGCATAGTTTTAGCCATTTATGTTAAAGTATAATGATTTATTTCTAGTAGGAATGGAAAGTATTTAAAGTACTTGAAAACTAAGTACATATAATATGTATATGTAATTTTTGCATTTTTCTTTTATTGAAGATAGATTACTTTTTTCATACAATAGTCTCCTCCTTGCACTAATATTAAGCATTTTTTTAATCCATGTAATATGTAACTGGCTTTTATATGCATAGTGAAAACATTGCAAAGTGCACAAAAACTTTAAAACATCTTTTTTTTTTTTCTTTCTTTTTTCTTTTTGTCTTCCAGCACACTATTTTGAAATGGGAACTTCTGGACCTAAGGATGATGAAGTCTTTGTTGAGTTCCATGGAATTCTAATGGATAAATATTTTGTCAAATATTGGGATGATGTTGAAGCATTCTTGGCAAGGCCAGATGATATTGTCATTGCTACATACCCTAAATCTGGTAAGTGTCCTTGTTGTGACAGTATGTTGTATTTTTATATATATTTTTAAATTCTATTTTAAAATAACCAGTTTACTGTGACAAGATGTTCTTTGAGACATAGAAATTATAAACCTATATCATTATTAAATCATCAGTATTAAAGTGTTTACCTGACTCAAACTCACTTTTCATACTACGAACAGTTGTAGTAATCTTGGTGTCAAAATATTAATAAATTGTACATTATCAACTCTATTCCACAACCTTGAACTCCAAGAACACAATCAGTAACATTAAGTCATTGATAAATGGAAATTGTTGATTATACAATTATCTTATTCAATATAGATAAGTCATTTTGAGATATGCATTGCTTAATAAATATTTAAAACTAATGTTTATGGGTTTGTAGATTATAAACTCTTTCAAAGGTAATCAAAAAGTGTATTTAAGGAAACCATTACCTTTTCATTGTGTATACTCACAAATTCTAATTTCACTACATATATTCACAAATTGCAATTCTTTTTTCTGAGATTAGCTCTACTAATATAAATAGGTCTAGAGTCTTAAAATTAAAATAATGCACTTTTAAAGCCAGAGAAGTCCAACCTAGTATTCTCTGTCTGCTTATTAACATTTAATACTTAAAAATGAATCATTCATCTGTTTGTGACCATATGATCATATAATTCCAATACTCAGGAGATATGGTAATTATGAGTTTGTGGGACGATCAAATGAAACAAAATCTCAAATGAAGGCCATGCACACACACTCACAATTATGTATATGCACATATTTTAACTGTATGCACACTCACAATCATATATCAGGTATGTACACACATATATATATATTTATATATTGTATATATACAAATAATTGTATATATGTATATACATATATATCAAGTGCATACACACAATTATGTATATGCAGATATTTCAAGTGTGTGCATACTCACAATCACATATATGTATATATATCAGGTATATACATATATATGTAGGTATACACACACTCACAGTTGCACATAAGCATGAATGAGAACCACTATGTATTTGGCAACTCTTCCCTAAACTCTTCATCTATTTCTCTCCTTGGTTCAGCTCAATTGCAGCAGAACACTGCCATCCGAATAAAGAGCACAGAGTAATTCTGGTTTCAATCTTTGTTTATACTTACCTACAACTATCCAACAAAATACTTTGGCAATGTATTCTGGTAGCTATGACTCATAGTTGTCATCTTACTGGATATTTCATCTACTTTGCACCACTGAATTTATTCTCTCAACAAGAGATTTCTTTATGAACATATTTTTTTGATAATATTTTTTATTTAAATTCTCAACACGCTTGTTTTACATGTCAATCCTAGTTCCCTCTCCCTTCCATCCTCTCCTATCACCCCCATCAATCCCTTTGCCATCCCCTTTCTTCTCCCCAGGGAGGGTGAGGCCTCCTATGGGGGAATTTTCAAAGTCTGTCATATTATTTGGAGCAGGGCCTAGGCCCTCCCCATGTGTCTAGCTGAGAGAGTATCATTCTATGTGGAATGGGCTCCCAAAGTCCATTTGTATATTAGGGATAAATACTGATCCATTACCAGAGGCCCCTTAGACTGCCCAGTCTTCCTAACTAACACCGGCATTCAGGGGGTCTGTGTTGGTCCTATGCTGGTTTCCCAGCTATCAGACTGGAAAGAGATATCTTTTTTTCTCTCTCTCTCTCTCTTTCTTTCTTTCTTCCTTTCTTTCTTTCTTCCTTCCTTCCTTCCTTCCTTCCTTTCTTTCTTTCTATTCATTCTCCCTTTTATTATTATTATTATGTTTCTCATTTTACATATTGATCCCTGTTCCTTCTCCCTCCTTCCGTTCTTCCCTCCTTCCCACACTCCCATGTCCCCTAACCACCCTACCATCCCATGCTCCCTCACAGTCCACAGGGAAGGTGATGCCTTCCAGGAGGGATCAGCAAAATCTGTCAAGTCATTTGGAGTGGGGGGGGGAAGAAATTTATGAACACATTTTTACGATATTGCTGTATAACTATGATACTCCCTAAAATAAATGCAAAGGTATTTTGTATTTAACATCAACTTACCAGTATAACCTTACTGAGTTTATCTCTTCAAGCAATTTGTTTTAACATGTGTACTCCTTTCCATATCTTAATTCTTTTCGTCTCCACCACCAAACAATCCTTGGATGTCCTTTGCTGACAAAAATATCTTATGCCGCTGCTTCCTAGGGCTCTTCTCTGTCTCACACAATTATGAAACCTAAGCTCAACGGTCTTGTCTTCATAAAGGAACTTCGTTGTTTAGAAGATTTATTTTTATATTTTATGCATATGAGTGTTTTACCTGCATGTATGTATGTGCACCTGAATGCATGCCTATTATTCAGAGAAGTCACAGAATAGGATATTGGTTTCCCTATAACTGGAATGATGGATTCTTTGAGGTGTAATGTTGATGTTGAAAGTGAAACTCAGGTTCTCTACTTGGGCAACAAGTGCTCTTAGGTGTTACTCCAGCCTCATGAGGGACCCTCTCATTGAACATCCTAAAAGCAGTAGCATCACTCAGAATATATTCTTCCTTCTTATATCTTGAAGCTCTATGCTTTTATCTGCATTACAACATCTTAACAAAGAAAACTATAGTTTGTTATTACCAATTTTCTTTTTCTGATTACCGTCAAAGGCCAGACAGGTAATTCCAATTTATCTATATTCTCTGTTTGAAGTTTCAGTATAGGTACAAAGACCACCACTAAAGTCTATAGCAGGAAGTATGCTTGTATAATGTCACCCATGCTCTGCCTTTTATTCATGTCTCCTCACTTCTTATTCATAACAATTGAAGTTATCAGAGTGTTATTAATTTTCATAATGCTACAGTTCATCATAAGAGGGCATGGACACAATGACCAGCTATTATCCATGACAGTGTACTTCCATATTTGTTGAAGTTATTTTGAACAGTGTAAATTAAATATTCAAGAAAATGTATTTTGAATTTAGATGATATCAAACACTATTAAAATAATACTGTTAACAACTATACAGAGTCATTGGATAATCAGGTGTGTTTCATGTTTTACAGGTACCACATGGGTTAGTGAGATTGTGTATATGATCTGTAAAGAAGGTGATGTGGAAAAATGCAAGGAAGACTCAATTTTTTATAGAGTACCTCACCTGGAATGCAGACATGCAGAATTGATTAATGGTATTTTAAAATAAATTTTTAAAAATGCATGCAAATATATATGTATGTATGTATATATATACATATATATATATGATATAGAGTATTCTTATTCTTATAAAATGCCATGTGCCTAGAATAGTGAATAATCCTAACTTTTATATATGTTCATAAGAATCTTATATGTCAGCATTTATTTCTCAGTTTCCTGAAGTTGAAAATATTTTAAATATTAGGAAACTTCACAGAATTTCAAGGGTAGTCAAAACTCTATTCATGAAGGATTACTTACCACATGTGAAAATTATTCTTTTCAATTGATGAAAATATTTGATCTTGATTTGTGATTTATTTAATTATCATTTTTCTTCACAGTGAGACTACATTGTCTAGAATCTTAAATAATTTCTTTTAAAATATCCATTTAAATTCATATGAACATTTTTTTCAATTTTTCTATTTCTCAACTCAGGAGTAAAACTACTAAAAGAGAAGGAATCTCCTAGAATAGTGAAAACCCACCTCCCACCCAAGCTTATTCCACAATCATTTTGGGAAAAGAATTGCAAGGTAATCAGAAATAGATCTTCTCAGACTTTATGGACTTGCATATCACCTAAAAGTCTTCGTATACACATTGTATTACTCTTTCCATTTAACACACTGTTTTCAACAAATGTGAATTGTTTTTAGCATAACCCCAGCCTCAATTGTAATGATACCTTCTATTTTTTGCTTAAGGTGATTCTGAAAACCAGTTAAACCCTAAACCTTGCTTTATTTCTGTGTAAAAGAAGGTTAATAGTGACATCTTCCTAATAGAGCTAAGTACAATTATCCCTGAAACCTCAAGCTTAGTGCCTAACCCACTGTGAGCCCTGGATGAATGAATGCTAGATACCTACATTTCTATCCCAGTGGACTGAATGTCCTCTCTTCACAAAAATAGTATATAACTCTGTGAGACATTCAAATGAGCTAGAATAGTGTACCTAGACAAGTGTCTTGTAATAATCATTTACCCAGTGAATGAAAGGATCTGTTATCATCCTTTTTACTTCATTAAGAATGCACTACATGCTGGATAAACTTTAAAGGAAAGAGGTTTGTTTTGGTTGGTGATTCTGATCAAGGGTCAAGATGCTTGTTGTTAGTAAAGTTTCAAGGTAGCATACGAGTCAATGTATACACACACATTTATGTCTCTAGTCTCCAACTTTTCTTTAATGCCTCTAGCACTCAAATGTTTGCTACTATGGTGACCCTTTCTAACCCTTGACACCTCCCAAAGGCCCATGTCTAAAGATAAAAGTCAGATTCTATCCATTCTACAGTACACAGGCTTCACTGTGAACATTGAATTTGAATGTAAATTTTGGAGGGTACAAACCATATTCAAACCTACAAGTTCCTGTAAGGTGTAGGGACATATGATACAGATAATCATTGATTCCATGGAAATAGTCAATAAAGTAAAGAAATGAGTAAACAGATTCTACGGGTAGTTCTTAGATCATGAAAGTGAACACTTCTAATTCAGAAGAATGGTTTAAAAGGCAGAAGAGGGCTGGGCAGTGCTGGTGGTCCCTTAAATCCCAGAACTTGGGAGACAGAGGCAGGTGGACATGTGTGAGTTTGAGAGTAGCATGGTCTACGGAGTTCCAGGACAGCTAGGGCTTTACAAAGAAACCCTGTCTTTAAAAAACAAACTAACAAACAAATAGGAACTGAAGATGAAGTAGTCTGTTCAAACAGAGACCATTTCAGGGGCTGTCTGTAACCAGCTCAGCTTGCCTGGAGGTTAAATGACCAGCTGGTTAAAAGATCCAAAGAAAATTACCTAGGGCTTATCACAGGAGAGTTGGATGCCAAGGTAAGAAACTTGGATTTTACTACAGTTATAACAAAATGAGGCATTTTATAGAGAGTCCATAAGTACTGGCAAAAATTGGTCATGGAATTAATTTCCTGCATGCTGCTTGCTAATATTTCTTGTATACTTGACACTTTATAAAGGTCTTAGGCTCCAAACTTCAAAGGTTCTAATGCTTTCTTAGTTGCATCTGAAATAACACTAAGTACATATCCTCCTGCATGATCTCCTACAGAAAAGGTCTTTCACAATTATGTAATTTACTGAGGTGTCTCATCACCGTTTGCTCTCAGGGTGTTGATCAGGCCACTTTTTTTCTTTGTGAGAATTGTAGGAGTTTATTGCTCCATTGAAATTTATAGTCACATTTATGGCATACTTTCATATACCTCAGAGGTCATCAAAGAAATAGAGATAATTAAATAATTTTCCTTTTGGTTATTTCCATAATGATTTGTTGATCTATCAGAGGAGAGTATTTTGTGAAAATGTTTGGAGTGATAAATCAGAGAGAATAAGTGACAAAGTAAAGAAAGTGAGTTTTAAAAGATCAGGATGATGGAAGAGAAAAGTGTTAAATGACAAGGGATTTGAAGTGGTGTGGTTTGGAGGGAGGTGTATGCATCATGCTTTGTCCATTTCTTTAGTGGTGAAAATGTCTGAGTACAAAGAGATGAGGCCTGTGAAGGATAGAGTTTTATAGTGTTAAAGCTAAAAACAGCAGCAGACACCACAGCTCCCTGATCTGCTAATCCATTGTTTTTATCTACTGTGTATAATAAGAATGGAAAGTCAGTGAGTGAAGTTATGAGAGTGCATTTTCCTCTGATCACATTCCTTAGGGGCAGGAATGGTCACGGTCACTTTTATAATCAAACAATGAAGGGGAGGATCTCAAGGAGGACCCAGGCAAATTAAAAAAAAAAAAAAGAGATAACTTTTAGATGTGGATTTAAATATAAATATGTAAATATGATTACTTTTTCTAACTGCAAGTGATGACGCTACAGTGCATTTTGTCTTTTTTGTCTTAGGATCCAAATTATGGTATGGTCTAAAGAACAGAAAACTGTACTTTTGACAGAGATCTGTCAACTTGTTTAAGTGGTTTACTTTTGATACTACTATATACTTGAATCAATTTGAGTTTTATTGTTTTACTTACAAGATAGGAGAAACAATCTACTTGGCTCGATATTTTGGACTGAAAATGTTATATAAATAAATAAAATCAAGAGGAGCAATTGAGCAAGGATAGAAATGGTTCTGTTACCTCAGGTTATTGAATATGTTTTTTAGCAGGATAAAACTAAAGACTAGCCAGGACAGAGCAAGCACTCTGCCTCAACTTATGTATGTTCATTTTTTTCCAGATAATGTATATTTTTATCTTTTTCAACCATACATTTATATTCTGCTAGTTATTGGAGACATGAATCTTTAAAAGTTGATGACAGTGTGGTATCCAGGCAGTGATTTAACACCTTATTTTATCCTCTAGATTATCTATATTTGCCGGAATGCCAAAGATGTGGTGGTTTCTTATTATTACTTTTTACTAATGGTAGTGGATTACCCAAATCCTACATCCTTTCAGGACATGGTGGAGAAATTTATGCAAGGACAAGGTAAGAGCAACTAACTAGTCTTCTAAGGATTACTTTCAGAAAAAGACAAAACAAATGCTGTTCTGTATGAAGGTAATTAATAAATTAATATAAACAGAGACAATATAAATATGTAAAAAGAGCTATAATATATATGAACATAGAGTGTAATATAATAATAATGAATTTATAAATATGTACAACAGATTAATATAAGTAAACAGAAATAGAATGTAATATAAAATAGAATATAAATATAAGATTATGGGAATATATATATATACAGGAATATAATATAAATTTAAATATAAAATTTTAAATATATACATATATATATACATATATACATATGTATATATATACAGAGGTAGAATATATGTTTTCTAAGGGATATAATATTATACAAATACTAAAAGAACTGATGCTTAGAGTGATAGTAATTTCTGCATATGAGGAGGAGGGAAAATTAGGGACTCTAGGAGTTTCATTTATGCTAATAAGTAAATGCATTGACCCAACATTGAAGGTTGTAGGTAGTAGTTTCCTCTCTGTAAGTTTGAGAGCTAGCATATGCTGTCTCTAACAGGTATTTTTGTATTTTCCAAATGTTTTAGAGCATGTTATTATAATATGATTAGACAAAAAGTGGGTGAAGGTATAAAGGCATGGTTACTTCCTTTCCAAGTAAAATGTCAAGCCATTACATGAATACTGAAGTGGGGATATACAAATATTATGAATACCTGTAAAACTTTGTATTATTCTTTCAGGCATGTAGACTGAACATTTTCATTTTGATTTCCCAGAACCTCGAGCAGATATTATGGGAATTTTATCATTCCACTGAAGTTCTGACCAATGCATCAGAGTATTTGTGTTTTAAGATGAAGAGGCAAAGAAGGGTTTACAATGGAACAAACAAACAAACAAAAACATGCAAATTGTATAGGAATAATTGAAACATTGAAAGAAAAACATTTTATATCCATATGAGATAATATTGCTCATTGGATCTATGTGGTTTGCAGAAAAAAAATGTCTTCTAAATTACCATTAATAAAATATACACCTCGGTTGTCAAAATTCTCTATGAAATACAGAGAAAAATAATTTATATGCCTTAAAATGGGATGAATGAGACTGTTATTAACATCATTGTGGGTCTTCTCATAAGAAACTTTGATTATGGCATCAAAGCAAGACAAGCTTACAATGGGTCAATGCCAAGTCTAGTGGTAACTCATACATGTTTGTATCATTCTGTTAGCCTTGGATTTTATAAGGCAGTTGTGTGAGGGTAAGAGAAGCAAAAGGAAGTGACAGCATTTGCCATATCACATCATATCCAAAAATCTTCTAATTTTATGGAAGACAGGAATTTTCCCTATGAAAAAAACCTTTCACAATCTAAATTACCTTTGTTGCAATACTTACTATATTCTCTCTTTTCTCTCTCTCCATCTCTCTCTCTCTGTGTGTGTGTGTGTGTGTGTGTGTGTTTGTGTGTGTGTGCACACAAACACACACACACACACACAGAGATAGGTACGCATGCACAAACATGCAGATACGCATAAGTACACACACACACCAAATTTAGTACATGCTCTCATTGCTCTAAGTTGTGTTGGTTTCTTATTTTTTCTTAATATCATAATATATAACATGATGCTAAAACTAAAAAGCATGTTTCTGTACATGAAATTATTCAACAACTTTTGCATCATTACTGCACAAAACTCTTCTTAATAAGTGCAGTCTATTAGCTCTTATTCCAAGATCATTTTGTCTTTAACAGTTTGAATACTTCTATCAAGCTTCAAAATGATGACATAATATCTTTGCCATTTGTTTCTTCTAATTTCAGTGATGTATGGTTCCTGGTATGATCATGTAAAATCTTGGTGGGAAAAGAGAAATAATCCACATATATTATTTATGTTCTATGAAGACATGATAGAGGTAATGTAACACAAATAATAAAAGGCCAGAGATAGATAATGGGATTCAACCTGAAGATCAGGATAACGAAGTGGCCAAGCCACTAGAGAGTTCTCACCTCCATCAAGCCTAAGACCGAAAGTGGGGGATCCTGTCCTCAGTGTGACTACAGACTGCAATGCTTTCCACCAAACCCCAGACTGTTCCCTGAGACTGCACTGAGCTCCTGCCATGTGCTCTTTCTAGTACTGGGATCAAAGCTGTCAGTTGTTTTTCTTTTAGACTGATTCACTCTCGTAGCCTAGGGTGGCCTCAAACTCACAGCCTGTCTCTCGAGTCCTGAGATTATAGGTGTTGCCACCACTTCCAGTCCTCTATGGCCAACTAGTGGCTTAGGTGTGTGGCTAACTAGTGGCTTAGCTCTTACCTAGGTATGTGGCTAACTAGTGGCTTAGCTCTGCACGCTGATCCTCAGACAAGCTTTATTTGTTAGATTACAAACAAAATATCACTACTGCAAGGTAAGAAATGGAAGTCACAGGAGCATACTAGTAGTTTTTAAGATGCTCTTAGCATCTGGAAAAACTCTGTATGCAATATTACCACTAGAAACGTAATAGCAAACACTTGCAGAACTAAGGGAGGTAAATCATGATACTCTAGTTCGATTATGTCAAACTTGAATCTAATAAGTGAGTAAATATGTTTTAAATCCAAGTGTGAAAAAAATTTCTAAAGATAAAATTGGCAAAAAAGAACCTTGAATTCATAAAGATAAGAAACAAATAACTCACACCAAACTCAGTCTTTATTGGACACTCTAGTCTGAGGATTTATATCCCTTATATATGAAATTCATTGTTCATATACCATGCATGAGGTTATAATATGTAGGCATGTTTGCTTATACCTGTAATTCCAGCACTTATGAATCTGAGACAAATAGTCAGGAGTTCAAACCATGTTTGAGCAGAATAGCTAGGCTTGTCTCAAAAAGAATAAAAATAATTAAATAAAAACTGGCCAAGGAGATATGTCAGTGGATAAAGTCATTGCTATGCAAGCTTGAGGACTGGAGTTCAAATCCCTGATACTTAACACAAAAACAGATCAGCATGGAAGCTTGCTCCTAATCCTAGTGCTATGGAAACAGAAGATACCAGAGTCAAATTAACAGGGTGAATCAGTGGGCTCTGGGTTGAGTGAGACACCCTGCCTTGGTAAAATGAAGAGGAGAGTAATAGAGGAAGTTACACAACTACAAATTTCTAGCTCTTACACACTCAGGTGCAAGTGTATGCATATTTACCTGCATGCATGCTCACTCACATGCAAATGTACTTACGTAAAACACAGACACAGAATCTACAATAGAATAAACAGAAATGAAAAATTTAGGAAGAACTACAGTTAATATTTTACAAGTCATTTCATTTGGGTCCAACAATTTTTGAAGTGTCTCTTGCATCTATTTCTGGATGAGGAAGAATTATTTAGAATAGTTTGTTTTCTTTATTGTAAGTTTAACTTTAGTGTGACCAGACAGAAAATAATATTCTTTCATTTTTTTAGCTTAATACCTATTCACCTATTTTGTCAACTTGATTTTCAAAGCAATTTCTCTATAGGATATCAGAAAAGAAGTGATAAAATTGATAGAGTTCCTGGGGGAAAAGCCCTCAAAGGAACTCGTGGACAAAATCATTCAGCACACTTCATTCCAGGAGATGAAGAACAACCCATATGTCAATTTTACAACATTGCCAGCTGACTGTATGAATCACGAAATATCGTCTTTCATTAGAAAGGGTGAGAAAGTCATGTAGTTTTCTGTTTAAATGGCTAAGTTACCATGATTTAGACAAAAATCTAGTCAAGGTAATTCACCTTGCATAATCAGCATGTGTTTTCTTTACAACTCTTTTATCTTAAATATTCTTATTAAATTATAAATTGTATGGAGGCATTAAACACTATTAATATATTCAAGACTATATTTATTAATAATGAATTTCTATTAGTTGTTTATTACATTTCAGAAGTATATTATATTGAGTATAATTGCCAACATCATCAGCGATGTGATCATATAGTGTTCTAGCTATCATTAGCTAGGTCTGTGTATCTTGGGTATATGCCATATGTCTTATACATATTATCTCTATAGGTTATGACTTCTAACTAGGAAAATAGATTTACTATCTTTTTTCTTTTAAGATGAAAAACAAGTTAAGAACAGTCAGTCACATTTTCCTTGTACAATTAACATAAAGCTTTGAAAACTAAATGATGAAGGTAACAATTCAAATAAAATTCTATTTACCAATAGTATCAAAACACAATGAAAGGAAATTTTATTTACAGAGAAGATATAGTCAATTTGTATGCCCAAAATTAGGTATTTTTATATAGTAATCATGTAGCAATGTCCTGTAAGTAATTGGATACAAGGGCATAAGTCTGTATTTGAGAGATTTATCAGCACAAAGATGATATTAATAATTTGATAGTCATTACACCATTGGTCACATAATAGAAGGTTTACTATATAAGAGAAAATCAAATAAGCACATTTGAAGCAGTTCAGAGAAGAAAGAAAAATAGGAATTTTAAAGAAAAAATTCAAAACAGTAAAGTAAAATAAAACATGTGATAATTATTTATTGAGAAAATTGAACATTAGGAGAAAATTTCACATTATTTATGGAAGGTACAGTACACAAGATAGAGAAATCTCATGATTATGGGTCAAAGAGGTGCCTGCCCTTATGTCCATCTGTTTAATTACAGGAATTGTAGGAGACTGGAAGAACCACTTCACTGTAGCACTGAGGGAGCGATTTGATGAACACTATGAACAGCAAATGAAGGGCTGCACTCTGAAGTTTAGAGAAGAGCTCTGAGATGCTTCTTCTCCTTGTATCCGAAACTGGAATTTTCTGCAATTTATCATCCAGTTTCTGCTGTTTTGCCTTTTGGTAGAAGTCTTTTGAATACTGATGATTTAATTTCTTTCTCTCTCTTTTTAAAACTTTCATATCAATTTAATTTCTGAATCTGTTCAAAGCAAAAAACATCATTTTTATATAAATAACATAAGAACTGTACTCTTACACATTTCAAAGATTTCTAATAAAATTATTTGATGTCTCCATGTTTAAACATTCATATTTCTATATAAATATTTCTTTGGTGATACATAGATCAACAACTATATATAGGTGCTTTGAGATTGGCAAACTTCTGACTGTGTTTGGAAGCCAAATATATACAAAATTATATAAATAAATTAAAACAATTCCAAGAATTATAAGATCAATTGAAGATAACATCTGAAAATTCATAAATGACCAGAAATTAGTTACACTGAAATAAATGTCTTTTCTTATGTTTTGAGCCTTAAATCCATCTCTTTATAAACTGAGTTCTGTTGCTTTTGGGATATTTGTTGCTAATCTCTCCCCAAAATTACTACAAGCTCTTTACCAATATAATTCTCAGTTGATAATGAGAAATTTTCAGCATTAACAAAAGGTACCACAGTTTCTGCTGCTTCTATACTGCTGATTGATGAAGTCTTAATTTTCCTTTCAGAACTAACTCAGAATTCTACATAGGTCTTTAGTTTGTTTTCTTTGTTTCTTTGTTTCCTTCTTTCTTTCTTTTCTTTTCTTTTCTTTTCTTTTTTTTTTTTTTTTTTTGTACTCTGTTTGGGTGATAAAAATATCCATTCTAAAATATTATCTACTTTCTGCATTAGAATTCCTGTAGGGCAATGAATAGAAGGTAAAATAACCAGAATACAATCAAACTCTGAATCCAAACAATCCACATGTACAGCCTGTAATTTCTTTTCTATGAAAGCCAATCCTCTCTCAGCCTCAGCTGGTAATTTCCTTGGAATATTTAAATCCATATCACTCTGTTTAAAATAAATTATCTAGTTCTCAAGTTGTTTTCTAATTGTGGGCCATATCCAGTTAATATTTCCCAGCAATTTTAGAAAATCATTAAGAGTTTGTGATTTACCTCTGCTGATGCTGCTTATATGTACTGTCTGTGGTTGAATATTTTCAAACCTTTTTTTAATTCATTTTTTAATTTAAATTTAAAACAACCTTATTTTATATACCAATCCCAGTTCTTTCCCTCCCATCATCCACTCCCGCCCCACCATTTTCCAATCTCACCCCCCCCCCCATCAACTCCTCAGATAGAGTGAGGCCTCCCAATGGTGATAATCAAAGTCTGTCACATCATTTGGGGCAGAAACAATCCCCCCACCTCCCGCATCTACACTGAGAGAGTAACCCTCCAGAGGGAATGGGCTCCAGAAAGTTAGTTCATACACTAGTAATAAATACTGGTTCCACTGCCAGTGGCCCCAAAGACTGCCCAATTCTCCCAACTGACACCCACATTCGGGGTGCCTGGTTCAGTCTTATACTGTTTACCCAGCTCTTAGCTGGGGTCCATGAGCTCTCACCTGCTCGGGTCAGCTTATTCTGTGTTTTTTCTCAGCATATTCTTGACTCATTTGCTTATCACTACAGTTGGACTCCAGTGCTCAGAGCTTAGTTACGAATCTCTGCTTCTGCTTCCATAAGATAGTAGATGAAGGCTCTATGATTGCACTTAAGGTAGTCATCAATCTCATTATAGGGGAAGGGCATTTAAGGTAGCTTCTCCATTATTGCTTAGTTGGGGTCATCCTTGTGGATTCCTGGTAATTTCCCTAGTTCCAGGTTTTCTTGTTAAGCCAATAACAGTTCCATCTATTAAGGTATCTTTCCTTGCTCTTCTTCTCTGTTCTTCCCCTAATTCAGCCTTTCTGACCCCTCATGATCTCCTCCTTTCTCCCCTTCTCCCCTTTTCTCCCATGCTCCCAACTTACTCAGAAGATCTTGTTGCTTTCTCCTTCTGGGGGGGGCATGCAAGCCTCCCTTAGAGTCCTCCTTTTTTCCTAGCATCTCGAGGGTAGCTTGTATATCCTTTGCTCTATGTCTAATATCTACTTATGAGTGAGTACATATCATGTTTGTCTTTTGTGTCTGGGTTACCTCACTCAGGATGGGTTCTTCTAGTTCCATCCTGTGAATTTCAAAATGCCATTTTTAAAATTGCTTAGTACCACATTTTCTTCATCCATTCTTAAGTTGAGGGCCATATAGGTTGCTTCCAGGTTCTGGCTATTACAAATAATCCTGCTATGAACATAGTTGAACAGATATCCTTTTCCTATGGATATGCATCCTTTGGGCATATGCCTAAGAGTAGAATTGCTGGTTCTTGAGGTAGATTGGTTCCCATTTTCCTGAGAAACTACCTTAGTGATTTCCGAAATGTCAGAGGAGTGTTCCTTTCTCCACATCCTTTCCAGCATAAACTGTCATTGGTGTTTTTTATTTTAGTCATTCTGACAGGTGTAAGATGGTTTCTCAAAGTTGTTTAGATTTGCATTTCCCTGATGACTAAATATGTTAAGCATTTCTTTAAGTACCTTGCAACCATTCGATATTCCTCGGCTGAGAATTCTCTATTTAGATCCATATTCCATTTTTAAATGGGCAATAGGGTGTTTTGGTGACTAGCTTCTTGAGATTTTTGTATATTTTGGAGATCAGCCCTCTGTTAGATGTAGGGTTGGTGAAGATCTTTTCCCATTTTGTAGGCTTCTGTTTTGTCTTGTTGACTGTATCCTTTGCCTTACAAAGCTTTTCATTTTCAGGAGGTCCCATTTATTAATTGTTAATCTCAGTGTCTGTGCTACTGGTGTTATGTTCAGGAAGCAGTCTCCTGTACCAATTTGTTCAAGGGTACCTCCCACTTTCTCTTCTAAAATGTTCAGTGTGGCCGGATTTATGTGAGGTCTTTGATACATTTGTACTTAAGTTTTGTGCATGGCAATTGATATGGAGTGAGACAAGGGTAGCCAAAATGAGCTTGCTTCTGTGGGATTCTCCAATGTCTCAACAATGAAGAACTGTGCCAATACTAGTCAAGCATATTTGCCCCCAACAGCTAATTCATGTTGTGTTCTAGAATAATTTCGGTATTGGATATTTTTACATATAGTTTGTTTTGTCATTTAGTTAAAAAAAAAGCCACCATGTTAATTGTTCTTAAATTTCTGGAGATTCACTATTTCCTAAAGGATATTCCCATCTGATTTTAAGTGCCCCTCCTTGCTGCTGCCACTTTAAGGATTCTCCATTTACAATGTCCTTTTGTGTCCTTTTGACTACCAAAGCAAAGTAACAAGTTTTCACAGAACAAAAATGTTGTGGTAGATGAAGAGAAGTGTAATGCAATGGTGGCAATGTTTGTTGTTTGAATAAATGTAAGAAGTTAGATGGATTTTGAAACAAAAATATGAGAGAGAAAAACAAGTGTAGTGAATCAATGTATGTTTTAGAGTTTCTCCCATCCTTCTATGCCTTCTAAACCCATCCCAATCCCTACTTACTCCACAGGGAGGGTGATGCTTTTCAAGAGTGATCTCTTCTGCTTTATATTCTTCTCTCCACCCAGCCATATCACTTCCTGTCTCCACCTACCTAGTGCTGGGATTAAAGGTGAGAGCTCTGTTTCTCTTTTAGACTGGTTAAATCTCATGTAGCTCAGTGTGGCCTTGAACTCCTGATCTTCCTGCTTCCACCTCCCAAGTGATAGGTTTAAAGGTGTGTACTATCACTGCCTGGCCTCTATGGTTAGCTAGTGGCTAGTTCCAACTTCTGATCTTCAGGCAAGCTTTATTTGTTGGAGCACAAACAAAATACCACCACACCTCCACCAAATTGTTTTTGGTCCTGGTGCTTTATCACAGCAACAGCAATCATAACTAAGAAATCCACTGAGACCTTTAGATTAGTGTCACATGAGTGAAAATATCTGTCAGCATGTTGTAAATGAAGGCTACAGACATCCACACATGGAACTGTCTCAAATGCTACCATTTGACAGACAAATAGTAAATGGAGATGAAATATATTCAAACAGTAAACTATGTCATTTAATTGAAAACATAATACTCACTTTTGATGTAGCTCTTACCTTTAATATACATATAAAATTTGATAACACTTTTCAATTATTGTGTTATTATTAATGAAATGTGTATTAATTGTTCATAGAAATAAAATGAAGTGTGCTATTTTGATATTGCATGATTTATGCCCTCATCCAACTATGGAGATAGCATTTACTCTTTCCTTATTAAACAATGGGATTTTTAGATCATTGTGAAATATGTCATAAAATATTGTGGTCCATTGGGATATAGAATACATGGATTTAATTCTCTGTGTTTCAATACTCTATCAAGCATGTCAAGGTAGGTAGCTCTTCAACATCCTGCTCTCTCTCTCTCTCTCTCTCTCTCTCTCTCTCTCTCTCTCACACACACACACACACACACACACACACACACACACATAGCTCAGGATAATACTGTAGATTTGTGGAGGAACCAGACACACTTACCTCCTCAAATCTCAAATCTCACAACATCATTCTCAGAGAGACTTAGACATACTATCTCTATCATTATTTTAAGTTTTACACTGTATGGAAACAGTGCCTGATAAATACTTGTTCCATGTAAAGGACTTGCTAGCTATCAAAATATCACTTTTCAGGAGAATAATGTATTGATTTTCACAAATTTGATATTCACTTAAATGTCTAAGGTACAAAATGTCTTCAGCTTTACCACTACATATTTAGCTCACCAGTAAGCTGGGAAACTCACAGTCCATGGTTAATAATTGAGTAGTAGTGACTGTTACCAATGTGCAAAACATTGAGATGTTTCTAAAGTCTCATAATTACCCCCCTGGGGAAGTTATATTCAAGGGACATTTTTTTGTTAAGGTAAACAGAGAAGTAACCTTAGGGAAAACAATCTTTCAACATTTCCTGAGCTTACAGTAGCTTAATTTCTTTCTCTTATGTACTATCCAGGGGAATCATCCTTTTAACGATGTTTTGGCTCTGATTCTTCATCTAAGCCAATTCATTTAAAGCTCTCAGGGTTTAAAGGTAAGCCAAATTTGACTGTATTTCTTCCAAGAATGTGTTGGCTGTGAGTTTTTAAGGGAAGATACTGCAAGTATGGAATCCAAAATCATGCCTAAAATTCAAGATCCAAGAATTATAAAGCAACTTTTGGGATCTGAGCATCATGTTGTTGAATCTGTGATTGTTAGATACTGACAAAAGCACAGATATTCTACAAGATCCAAAAAACAGTGTCTAAAACATTTACAGTATTTCAATATTCACTCAGAAATGACTTCAGGTGGACTTGTACTTTTACATAATTAGGTGGACTATATAGATATTCAAAGAATACAAATATTTAAAATCATTAGTAGGCTTGTATTTTATTAATTATTCCCTATGCTCTTTAGTATGTTGTATTTAATACTTATATATATGGGAAGCTCATTATTATTGAACACAGGGAGTAAAAACAATAATGCTAATCTTTTTGAGCTAGCATAGTCTTCCTTGGATCCTTAATGGAAATTCATGCCACTTCTTCTTTATTATTCCTTGCCAGTACTTTGGAATAACTAGGTGTTTCTTTTATTGTGTATTATATTATTATTTACTGTTTCAAGTTTTATAATACAACTCTAAAATAGTTAACACTACAGGACCTACAGTCAAACTATCTTGATCCAAACCAAATTCTGCCACTTGCTAAATGAAAATTCTGGAATAGAATTAAGTTTCTCATTGTTATTTTCCTCCTTAGTTAAAATTACACAGTTATACTTGACACATAAGATTCTTGTGCGAATCAAAGAATATATAATATGCCCTTTAAAAAGTTCTGATTGTGCATTATTAGTTTCATATGATCATTAAGAATATAAAGACTGACCACACTTTACCTGGTATTTGGTTGCTAATAGTGTTGTAACTTTGTGTATTTTTGTTTTTTGTTGTTGTTTTGAGAATTTACAAATGTAAATGGTGAAATAAGAACATATCTCCCCATTTTCCACTTTCAGTCTCTCCTCTACTCCCAAACAAATCCTTCTCACAGACTCATATTTTTTCTATTTATTTTTTTATAAACCTTTAAGTCTGTTAGTGCTTCCCACAAGGACCAGGCTGGTGAGAAAACTGCTCATAACAAAATGGCACCCAGTGTCAGGTCCAAGAACTTTTCATTAAAACTTGACAAAAGCTTAAAAGGGGGATTTAGAAACAAAAGAACAGAGACAAGAAAGCCTTCTTGATAGCAGCATTTTTCTTGGTTGGGCTCAATTTTGCTAAAGACAAGCAGAGATTTACACAGCACCTTTAAGGGAGGTCTCCTGACTCAACATAAGAGGCAAAAAAACAAAAAACAAAAAACAAAAAACAAACAAACAAACAAACAAAAACCTGGCTTTTAAGAAGCCCTGCTAACAGGTAAATGGTGTGTACAAGAGCTGAAAATGGCAGTGACCACATCTCCAAATCTCCAAGACAGCAACATGCTGCTGGATAACAGTGTAGACCAAAGCAGTGATCACAGCTCTCAGCTCTCAGTGCTGGTAGTAAATGTACCTGGGCCATCTTGGTTAGACTTTGGCTAAAACAGCCATGACTTTCATTTTAGCACTGTTGTTTAACAGATAAAAGACTTGTGTCAAATAAATAAATAAAATAAAGATTTATGGTAAGACAGATTCAGATAAAGAAAAACCTTTAAAGGTTTACAGTGTGTTTTGACATATACTTAAGCTTGGGAGAAAAAAAAAAGATAAAGTGGTAAAAAGAAATAAAATTAAAGTAGCTGGGTTTGGTTGCACACAGTTTTTAATTCCAGCACTCAGGGGGCAGAGGCAAGCAGATCTCTGTGATTTCAAAGTGAACCTGGCATACAAAATTAATTGCAGGACAGACAAAAGTTACATAGAAAAACCTTGTCTCAAAAAATAAAAGTAAAAGAAAAATAAAGCAATGAAAAAGCCACATAAAGATGAAAAACACACAGAGAGTCTGAATACTGTATGCTATTGTGTTGTTGTTAAATTGCTCAATTGCTAAGGAAAAAACAATTACTACAATGACACTTGATTATCAATGCTGCTAAATTTTTAACTTCAAAATTTAAGTCTAAGGACAGGTTACTAGGGAAAAAATTTCTATTTTTGTTTCCACAAAAAATAAAAAGATGTAGATTCCTTCTAGACTAACATGATTTGATCAAACAAGACCCCCTAAAACAGTGGCCCAGGTGATCCAACATTCAAAACAGCTGTGACAAGGAAGCCTTATAGACCACTACAGCCAGGATTTCTACATCTTCTTAGGATCCCCATGACAGGACCCCCTACCAGCAGAAAGCAGTTTGGAAAGAATGATGACCAAATTCCCAAATATTGTTTATAAATGTTTTTTTCGTTTATATGTGGTTGGTTATAAATGGTTAGTGACCACAACCAATCTTTTTTTAAAGTTAAAAAGGGAATTATGGTATAGAAATAAATACTTTGTTTTGGAATGTATTTTCATTTATTGATACAATTTAAGGTCAATTTTGTGATATGTACATTTCTCCTCTTATTTAGGTATTGTGTTTATATAGCTCATTTAAAAAATGAGCTATATAATTAAGTATAGATTATAGATAGTTACCTATGATAGTCAAAGCTTATAGTTTGTTAGGTTTTCTAGATATATAGAGATATATTTCAATTGGATAGGCATTCTTTAAACCTTACAGAGACCTACATAAATGGTTTAGGGTTTTTCTTAACAGTGAGGCACAACTGCTCCTGGAAATACCACCTGTGTCAAAAAAGGAAGATGAGGAAACTCGTTATGGAGTTTACTTCCAACATGACAAGACTGGCCATTTGGGCAAGATTCTGCTCTTGTCCAGACTGTTTGACTTTATGCTGTATAAACTGGACTTGTAGGACCCACAGAAAAGTGACTGCTAAAACAAGATGGACAGTAATACAGGGTTCCCACCTCATGGAAGAGTCTGCCAGACAGTCTGCAGGACACAGAGAAAAGTGACTGACAAACTTCCAATACAGGTGGACAGTTTAAAGTTTCCTACTTTGTTGAGGAGTATGCCAGACACACAATGGCCTATTGGCTAAAGATAAAACATTACAAAAAAAACTTTGGGTGACTGACCAGGTAGCAAGATGTCTCTGTCATTTCTAGAGTTTACATATTATCCTTCTGTGGTCTTTGATAGAGTTGAAGACATATAGTTATAGTTATAATTTTCCTTAAGATTAAAAATAAGTTACATATAGGACTTTAGACTCAAAGATAAGATAGATAATAAAATATTTTCTTTAAATGTTGCTAAATGTTAATGGACTAAATATTATTAACTGTGGTTCTTATTTGATAACTATTCTGATATACATTTTGCTATGTTAAGGCTAAAAACCCTTCTTTTTATTTAGACAGAAAAGAGGAGATGATGGGAGATGTCATTCTGTAAATATGTTTTTCTTATTGGCAAATAGGAAGGCAAGATAGGCCGGACTGGGAGACAAAGATGATTCTGGGAGATGTAGTAGTGAGATTCAAGATGTAGAGACTTGAGAGAAGTGGTCTGGACCCTCTCTCCAGTAAGATAAGACCACGTGGAAACACTTAGATTGATAAAAATGGGTTAATATTTAAGAGAGAACTAGCCAATAGTAATACTATAAATGTCTTTTCTCCACCCAAAAGCCTTTTCAGTGCCTTCTAGCCTCATGAAGACTAATAAGGATTAACTTTTCCCATTCAGTTGGTACTGATTCCTGGTATCGACATAGCCCTTGGTGGTAACAGGAGACACAAACATCAGCTCAGACCCTGGCTGCTGCTGGGTCTAGTAACATTTTAAAGTTGATTGATGCTACCCTTTGTTACAATCTAGTCTCTCTCAATGGATAAGAAGCTGGATATCTTCAGGAGGGAGTTAGTAGATGTTCAAGGTATCCCTCTCTTCTGGAGCATTGCTGAGCAGTGGGTCCAAGTGGAGTCATTTGAGGCCCGACCCGATGACCTTTTGATCTCCACCTATCCAAAATCTGGTAAGAACTTTTATTTGTCCTAGATAGTTAAGTAATGATCCATACTCAGAAATGAGCTTGCCTGCAGACACTGGTGTAATCTAAATGAATTTTTCTAACATGTTGAAGGAGTATTGTGGCTAGCTGTGGCAGTATTGCCTCAGATTAGATCAGTTCATGAGCATTTCTAAAATGCCAGCACATAAGCTATGAATTTAATTGAATACACAATCAGTCAAACTTCTTACCTGTTAAATACTCTAATATTTCTTTCCTCTATATTTATACTTAATTCCCTAAGGGTAAACTAGAATTTAAGATATTCTGATCTACCAAGATCATACAAATCCCACATGATTCCAGGGTCTTGGGAAGTGAACAAATACACCATAAGACATTGTAGGTATGCAAAACACAGTGATTTGGCCTTTTGTTCTCTCTACATTACTTTATTTTAATTAAATCTCCAAGTTGGCAGACAGAATACTGAGTTTAATTGTGACACTGCTGTACATATCTATCATTTCCAGTATCTGCAAATAATCCAAAAGTACAGACATTCATGTTTAATTCATTAAATCGTTGTATATATAGATTAACCAAAGTATATATTTCAGAGATAGTTACTATTGCAGTAACAGTTAAGAAGGTATTTTTTTTTCTTCCTATCATATTCTTTCAATAGAAATGCCTCACTCTGTTGCATGCATGTGGAACCAGCATGTATATGCCTAAGAGTGGAATTGCTGGGTTCTGTGGTACACTTATTCCCATTTTCCTGAAGAACCCCCGTAATGATCTTCTAAATGGCTGTACAAGTTTGCACTCCCACATCCTCTCCAGCATGAGTTGTCATTGGTGTTTCTAATTTTAGCCATTCTGACAGGAGTAAGATGGTATCTCATAGTTGTTTTGATTTGCATTTCCCTGATGGCTAAGGATGTTGAGTACTTTCTTAAGTGTCTTTCAGCCATTTTGGATCCCTATATTGAGAATTCTCTATTTAGTTCTGTATCCCACTTTTTAATAGGGTTATTTGGTGTTTTGGTGATTATTTTCTTGAGTTCTTTGTATATTTTGGAGATGAGCCCTCTGTCAGTGGGTTTGGTGAAAATCTTTTCCCAGTCTGTGGGCTGCCGTTTCATCTTGTCGACTATGTCCTTTGCCTTACAGAAGCTTCCCGGTTTGAGAAGGTCCCATTTATTAATTGTCAATCTCAGTCAGTGTCTGTGCTACTGTTGTTATATTCTCCTGGAATCCAATTGCAGAGAGGGAAAAATGATAAGAAAAGGGGTCAAGACCAGGCTTCAGAAACCCACAGAGACAGCTGACCTGAACAAGGTGGAGCTCATGAACCCCCCCCCCCCCCCCCCGACTCCCTGAACATGGGTCTCAATTAGAAGGCCTCTGACAATGGAACCAGGATGTATCCCTGGTGCACAAAGGGACTTTGAGAGCACATTCCCCATGGAGGGATACTCCCTTAGCCTAGGGGCAGGAGGGAGGGCCTAGACCCTACTCCAAATGACTTAACAGTTTTTGACGATCCCTCCTAGAAGGCATCACACTCCCTGTGGAGTGGGAGAAAGATGGGATTGAAGGGGGTTTTGGGAGGTATGTGAGGCAGGGAGGGAGAGGGAACTGGAATTGATATGTAAAATAATGCCTTACTCACCTGACAATCAAAGGATATAGGCAATTGAATAGGTCATATTTTCACTTGATTTGGTACATTTTCAAAGGACTGGTAAAAGGCTATTTATCGTACTTGTCAGAGTGATTCACTGTACCAAGCTCAAATGGGTTTTATTGTTGCATATAGCATCTTGATTGTTAAAGGCAAAAGTTCTCTGTGTTCTCTTTTCCATACCTCCACTGTAGGTTGATCAGCTTTATCTGACTTTTTCTTCAATTCTAAGCTATAATAGTTGGTTTTTTTATATTTATGGGAAATATATGAACTGATCATTTAATCAAAGTTGGGTATTTCCTCTGCCCATCCCACTCAGGATCCAACTCAAATGTATTTTAGAATCTTTTACCTTAAGTCAAACCATTTTAAACAGAGAGTATTGAGGAGGGTTTGTGTATGCTATCTTTACTTGTGCACTCTCTCTTCCACACCTTTGCTTTATCTACTTTATAAGGCTTTAAAGTTAGATTTTATGCAATAAACATGCCCACATTCCCAACAGATGAGCTTATTTTCTGCCAAGTATAGTGGTGCATGCCATTGATCCAAACACTCTGGGGGCAGAGTGAGGCCAGTCTTGTCTGCAGAAGTTTCAGGAAAGCAAGGGTTACACAAGCTATAGCATGTCTTGAAAAATTAGAAGAAAATCCAGACAAACACAAAAAAAGGAAGCTTTTCCTAAGAAGGAGTAGGAGGAAGAAAGGAAGTAGACATAAAAACCACATTTTGTTTGCTTATTTGTTTCAGATATTACAAAATACCTCTGCCTCTCTTTCTCATGTTATTTTCAATAGAGACATTTAATTTCTTCCATTTTTCCCTTAGGGACAACCTGGATCAGTGAAATTTTGGATTTGATCTATAACAATGGGGATGCAGAGAAGTGTAAACGGGATGCAATCTACAAACGAGTGCCTTTTATGGAACTTATAATTCCTGGATTGTCAAATGGTATTTTCCCTGATTATTCTATTCCATTATAGGAATAAATCCACCTATGTTCTTTGTATATGTGAAGGAATCAAGAACAGCAATAACTATGAAGTTACTGTCTGAAGGAGTTAGAATTTTGTTCAGCCCCATTTACTCAAAAATAATATCTACATATGGGAGACCTTGATCTAGTTTAAATCTCTTAATATATGGAAGTCTTTATCATTTAGCTAGTGTGTCATATTATATAAAGGAAATTCAATATTTAGTTCAACAAAATTATATGTGACTAATTAGTTTATATAAGACAGTCATATAATATAAAAGAATAGTGTATATTATTTACAAACTCAAAGAAAAATATGGGTATATATTGCTTTGTGTTACTTTAAATCTAAAAAACAGAAAGGAATATTATGACATGACTTTGAATATTTTCATATTGTAAATAAGAAAAAATAATGAAGAGAGAATCTAGAGACTATTTCACAACAGTCTTTCTGCTCCATCAGGACGATACAAATAAGGAACTGTTTGTATAGACAAATGTAAAGACCATTACCCTATTGTACAGAGGAAAATAGGCTTTTATAGTTTGTATTCTTTGACATTTTAGGAACATAGGAATCTGTTGAGCTATATAGTCAACAAAACAGAAAAAAACGATAAAAAGGAAAATAACCTTACTGAGCCAATAATGACTAGAAAGTCTTAGGGATAGATTGCAAATAAGCCATGTGATTCCACACTTATAATGCAGTTTGTTAATGTGTGTGATTACAGGTGTTGAACTGTTGAAAAACATGCAGTCTCCTCGACTGGTAAAAACTCATCTACCTGTTCAACTTCTTCCTTCTTCATTTTGGAAAAATGACTGCAAGGTAGCAAGTGAAAAATAAACACTGTATTTTCATTTTTTAAATTGTTTAAGGCAAGGAGCAAAAGGTTTCAAAATTTATTTTTCTAAGATTATTGATGATTTGATTTTTAAACATTTATTTTAAGTTTTATTTTTAGAACTTCATACTTACTTGAATACTGTAATTTACATCATTTTACCCTATCCTCTCCCACTACAAATACTCATTTGCTCCCTAACTTCCTCTCAAATTCATGACCTGTTCTTAATTTTTTTCTTGAGAATAGAATATAATTACATCATTTTCACCTTCCAATTTACTCCCTCTAACCCTACCAGCATACTTCTCCTTTTTGCTGTCATTCAAATTCATGGAATTTTTTCCTTTTATTATTGACATATATGTGTGTATTCATGAATGTTCATTTATATGTATATATTCTGCAACATATATAACCAGCTCAGTCTGTATAATGTTACTGGTATGTATGCATGTTTTTAACTATAAGGTAAGTTATTTTGAATGTTGGATGAGTCATTACAAAACAATGGAATGTCAGTTATAGTCAAGGGTCCACATGACAATACTAGACACAAATTATGAAGGAAGGGATTGACACTATGTCTGAATCACTGTCAGATTCTTATGACAGATTTCACCTGTCATTTAACTACATTTAAATTATTTATATTCAAATAATCTGGAACAGATCTTTTGAAACATATGCATTAATAGTTATATGTAATTCTGTAAATAAATCAATATTTATAAACAGATATTATTTGCATATAAGTCTAGAAGCAATCCAGTATTTTATATATATATATAAACACTATTTTACTAATTATAAATGATACATCATTATATAGAATCATATATTTTATGATTATATTATAAAAAATGGTTTTTTTGGGGGTTTTTTTTTGTTTTGCTTTTTTGTTTGTTTGTTTATTTTCTGAGACAGAGTTTCTCTGTATTGCTTTGGAGCCTGTCCTGGAACTAGCTCTGTAGAACAGGTCTGACTTGAACTCACAGAGATCGACCTGCCTCTGCCTCCCAAGTTCTAGGATTAAAGGTGTGTGCCACCAATGCCCAGCCCTAATAAATTTTTTGAAGCATATCATTCGGGGAGAAAAGTACAAGGACACTAAGTAAATAGCTTGATTATCTAGGAAATAAGCATACATATAAAACACCAACAAAGTATTACATCACCCCAAAAATTGAGTTCTGACTTTTCTGTTTTCACCTAAGTAATTTTGCCTGTTTTCCCTGTAATTATAAACTTTGTATAATGCATATTTTGTCATCATTTGTCTCAAGACACACATGAAAGCTTTTCCTTTTGTATAAGTTGATGTGTTCTGTTGTGTTACAGAAAGCATCCAACCAGCTCTCTATAGATGCAATTTTGGGGTTTTATTCAGGTATTTTGACATCACAAATTGTGTGAAAGAAGATTAAAAGTCAAAATTTTAACAAGAGCACATTTAAATTTTATTCAGGTTAAAGTCTGAAGATTAATAATATACAGCATCATAAACATATGACACTTCACAGCTTACTTGTGAATAGTACTATTAATAGATGGTTGAGTTGCTGACAGTTGTCAGGAATAAAAATAGTGTTGTTGTGCATATTTTCTGTCTTTTTAAATATGTATGTATATTTTTCCTTGGCTTTACATTTATGGATAGAATTACTGAAACCTAACATGCTCACTCATTTGTTTAATAGATACTTTAAAATAGTGTTTGAAGTGTTGATGAGCAATGTTGCTCTATGTCTAAGTTGCTCTATGTCTTCATTAACATGAAATATAAACAAACCATCTCATTTTATTCATATCAGGTGTTTATTTTCTGCTTTCTTATTGACTAATTAGGTTAGGACCCTTGTTATGGTTTACTGGGTACTTGGATATTTTCACTAAATTTTCTCTCTTCTTTTGCCTCATTTTATATAATTGATTCCTTCTTCTCAATACATACACACAAAAAGAGAGTGAAAGACAGAGAGACAGAGCAAGAGAGAGACAGAGACAGACAGAAACAGACATTCCAGTAGTGAAAATTAATAAAATCCAAGAAGGGGGTATGGTTTTCTTTTAGGAGTTTGTGGAGATACTCTCAAGTCATCCTCTCTATACCAAAGTAAGTAAAATACATTTTGCAAAAAGGCTACAGTTTTTATTGCTAAATGCATTTGGCCTAATTGCCAGAATTGACTGATACTGAGAAAAGAAATAACAAGTACTGTTTATGGGGTTTTATGTTTTCCTCAATAAGTTTACAAGCAAACTATACTATATCTCTTAGAAAACCTCTTTCAGTCCACTCCCTGTCCTCATCCATTTCCTAGTTTATCAAGCCCACTGTCTTTAACTTGGCAATATAAGTTCCTATTTTGTTCATTAGTTGGGTGAGAAGGAAAATCTAACAATAGCTTAATGAAGGTCTCTTCCAGCACTCATCCATGTACAGCTAAGCTTCAAGCATGTTAAAGTTTTCTTTGTAGGAGAGGGAGACACAAAGTATCGCAATAGATGGCTCCACAAAACAAATTCCCCAGGGCTCATGACAGATCTCTCATATTTTCTCTTTCATTATCTTGATCTCTCTCTCTCTCTCTCTCTCTCTCTCTCTCTCTCTCTCTCTCTCTCTCCCTCTCCCTCTCTCTGTCCCTCTCCCTCTCCCTGTCCCTGTCCCTCTCCCTCTCCCTCTCCCTCTCCGTCTCTCAATTGTGGGACTCAATTAGCTCTGTCATCATGTGGATTCTGGTGATAAAAATTAAATCATCAGTCTTGACTGTAAGAGTCTTTACCCTTTGAGCTATTTTGTCACCCCTAGAGTAATTGTCATTGAACATTAACTCTTCAATCATGCAGAGCTTAAAATTTGATACATAAAAAAATCTTACATATATTGTTATAGCTTTGGTTTGGGGTATAAGGAGTTTAATCGTTTATAGTTCTAAATTTCCCTAGTAATGTTTATTCTTCAATGAAAATTTAGAAAATTTTTAGCTTACAATGTTTTATTTCATTTTATTAATTTTGGTATTTGACAATTCAGTACTTGTATATATGCATTCTGAACACTGCCATCCCTACCCTCTCTTATCTGTCTCCTATCCTTTTGTATAGCTTTAATTTATTTTAATTATCAATTTAAATATGCTATATATATATAAATGTTCTAAATTTAAGAATATATAAGCTACTTGCTTAATTTAATATTTAATATACTTCTTTTTTTCCAAACTCTTTTTAAAAATTGAAAGTAAATTCTTCTCTCAAAGAATACATCTCCACCAGAGATTCTCCTCCCTCCATTCCTCCTATGACTCCTTCACCTCTCCTATCCCCTAGATCCACTTCCCCTCCAGTTCATCCCCAGAAAAGAGCAGGCCTCTAAGAAACAATAGCCAAAACAGGAAAAAAACAAGAGACAATAGACAAGGCAAAAGTCCTCATACTGTGTCTGATCAAAGCAACCTAATAGGAGGAAAGGAGTCCCAAGAGCAGGCAAAAGAGTCAGAGGCTCAATGGCTCCCACAATTAGAGTCTCACAAAGTACCAAGCTAACAGTCAGCATATATGCAGAGAACATGATGTAGATCCATACAGGTCCTGTCCTTGCTGCCTCAGTCTTTGTGAACCCATTGTAGCCTTGTTTTGTTGATTCAGCTGGTCATGTTCTCCTGGTGTCCTCCATCTTGCCTGACTCTTACAACCAATCTTTCCTTCTGCTCTTCCATGGGATCCTGCTCTCTAAGGATAATCTCTAAGGGTAGGGATCCAATGAACACCTCCAACTTAGATTCTCTCTCTGTATAAGGTATGGTTATGGGTCTATGCACCTGCTCCCATCTGCTACTGGGAGAAACCCGCTCCCATCTGATACTGGGAGAAGCCTCCCTGATGACAACTGGACAAGGAACCGATCTATGAGCATAAATCATTAGGAATCACTTAATTTCATTTATTTTATTTATAATTTTGCCAGTCATTTTGGGTTCTACCCTAGGTCTCTGATCTATCTAGTCTTAGGTTCCTGACCAACCAGGCAGTGTAGGCCATGGGCTCCCTCTCACTGCATGGACCTCTGGTTAAACCAAACATTAGTGGGTATGAGTTCTGTGTCACCATTGCTCCAGTACATCCTTCAGGACAGATTGTAGGTAAAAGGTCTTATGACTGGGTTGGTGTCCAGGTGTCTCTTTCTGTAGCCTGAAGAGTACTTCTCAGGCCAAAGAGACTAGAATATAGTGGTAGTGGTGAATGCTCTAGTTCTTACTGTAATGATTTTTCATGTTTCAAGAGATATTTTAAAAGGTTAAAGAGGATGCAGATGTGTTAGAAATGGGAGATGAGCTTTTGAGTATTAAAACATTATATGGTTGTGAATGTACTATGTGGGGTTTAATTACAAATATGTCATTATTGGGAACTCTAAAGGATAAATAAGCAATCTGATAATGTAAACAATAGCTAAACACTATTAAATTACAAAATAAATGCTAACCTTCCACTTGCCTCTACAGATGGTCTATGTGGCACGGAATGCCAAAGATGTGGCTGTTTCTTACTACTACTTCTACCAAATGGCAAAAATGCATCCAGAGCCTGGCACCTGGGAGGAATTCCTTGAAAAATTCATGGCTGGGCAAGGTGAGTCCAACTGTTCCTTTAATTACAATTTCAAAACTAATAAGTTTTTTTTTTTCAAGGCAACATGAAGTTTAAAATCTAAATCTTGGGTTTTTTATAAAATTGATACTTACCAAGCCATCTACTAATATATTAAGGAGACTAAAAAGAAAGAATACAAGGCCCTTTCCTCTTTGGAGGAACTTTTGGATAACTTGTGGGTTTCAACGTTTCATTATTGATGAATAACTTCTGGTAATTTATTTAAGTATTTTCAAATCTCAATGTCTATGCTTGGTTATTTTAACTGTGTATCCATTCTTTGGAGTCTCTTTTTCTATTATTCAAAACTCTTAAGTGATTGCCCCTTTAGAGTCTGTTCTTTTACAAACACACTCTCTTTTTCACACATGATAGTAACTGTAGGAAAAATTCTCAATAAACATGCTCCTATATAAATACCCTCTTGGAAGCAGATGTGTTTGTTGTAGGTGACATCTAGCATAGACTTAATACCTCTCATTGCTTTAAATGTTGTTTGTTTGTGGTGTCATTGTCCCTACCAAAGCCCAAAGGTGTCTCAGAACAAAATACACGCTACTCTTCTGTAGGACTTTTGTGACTCCTTCTCATGTAATCGTATTTATTCACTAATCCCTGCCCTGTCAAGTTCCACATTACTTACTCCTTGAAACACTCAGACTCTGCAACCTTATTTTTGTGATCTTTATTATTTTTATCAAATGATATATTACTTTACAAAAGGTACCATAAAATATCATATTGAGTGGCTTGGGGACAGAAATATGCTTTTTAAAAATATCTTTTTGAGGGAATGGGATGGAAGGGGGTTGGAAGCATGGAGGGGGAGGGAGAAAGAGAAAAATGGGATCGATATGTAAATAAGAAAAAATTTAAAAAATATTTTTTTTAGAATCTACAAACCCAAGGAGAAAGTGCTATTAGTATTTGTTCTATAGCATTTTCCCTTAAATTGTGAAGAGCTGTATATTCATATTACTGTCTCCATAGCCTCCCTTCTTTGTGGGTCTGTTTTAACTCCTTTCCCTGTAAGGGCATTGCTTGTATCAAGAACTAATTTTGTAACTTCTGTAGGGACCTTTTTTCTAAGCACAGTTTCATTATCAGATATGAAGGGTAGGCATTTCAGAATATGGACTTTGGGAAGACATGATTCACCTTGTAAAAGAATCACATTTTTTGTTTTGAAAGCAGATTTCTAATTCAGTGAGAAAGTGGTTACCTCATATAATTCTATTCTTTGGCCTCTTTTCTTGAATTATAGAAATCATTGTATGTGGACAGAAAAGCATGAGTTAAAGAGACAGTTAGCTATTTTCTGCTTCATGTAAATGTTTTTAATTTTACATTTTACCCTTTTTACTTTAGTGGGTTTTGGCTCCTGGTATGACCATGTGAAGGGCTGGTGGGAGAAAAGAAAAGATTACCGTATCCTTTATCTGTTTTATGAAGATATGAAAGAAGTAAGGAGAAATTTCAGTCTATTGTTTAAGAAACCCAAGATTTAAGTTCTTTGTCTCATACTGTCATTTATTCTTAGTCTATAAACATGGTGAATCTATTTTTAACTCTAGTGTCATACAGTACTAATTAATTATAACTTCCCCATCTTGCTACTGTCATCCATTCAAAGGCAATAATGTCTTTGAAATAAAAATCTGTATATTCCCACTCCTGTCTTCAAATAGTCTAGTTGCTTCTTAAAAATAAAATCATAAATATAATTACTTGAGAATTATTAATTAAAAGTAGCATAAACCCCCAAATGTCTCTTCTACTAGTTAAGCTTAAACAGAACTTTATTGAATGCATGCCTTTCTTTGTGACCAAGTCTAACTGAAATGATTCTTTTCCCTTTTAACATTTCAGGATCCAAAGTGTGAAATTCAAAAATTATTAAAGTTTCTGGAGAAAGACATGCCAGAAGAAATTGTAAATAAAATCCTTTACCATAGTTCTTTTGGTGTAATGAAGGAGAATCCCACTGCAAATTACACCACTATGACAAAAGAGGAGATGGACCATTCTGTGTCTCCATTCATGAGAAAAGGTAAAAAGACTACAAACTCATTTCTCTAGAGTTTCTGGTCACATAGTGGAAGATATATATAATCACATTAATGTGCAGATGAGTAAAAGGGGAAAACATTCTTGTTGTAGAGAAGATTTATTAACAGTAATAAAATTTAGGAAAGATCTTGAGATAAAGAAATTTTGGTGAATGTCTAAGAAGAAACAATCAAGATTCATTATAATTAGAATTTTTATAGATTTTAAATGATATTTGTCAAATAAGGAATTGTGTTATCAGTAGGTTTTATATAATATTTCAAAGTATGATTTTTGTTTCTAAGGGACCAAATGTAAAGACATTCTTTATTGTTACAATTAGGAACCAGATATTGGTGTCTAAATGACCCTACAGGGTAGATGAATGCCTTTCAAATCCAGGGAATTCCTGAATCAAATGTCTCTAGTTGATATGAAAAACTAGGTTTCTAATTGTGTCTTCTGTTACTGGGGAATATTCTGTGAAAACTATATAATTTAACCAAGTGTCCTTTTCGTATGGTATGCCTTATATTTTTCATAAGAATTTTGATATTTAAAGGCTCAGCATGTGTGTATGTGTATGCTCAGCAAGTATATAGTAAGTAAATCATGTAATTGTATTTACCCCAGCAACTTCCAATCTTGTTTGATAATAAAGCATTTCACATATGTTGTCATTTTTATCCTGTAAACTAAAGCTTTAAAATGACTGATAAGTGTCCTTTGCCCTCTGTTACCAGGGTATTTATAGCCCAAGAATTAGCACTGAGATTATCAAGTGGTATTTCCTCCACTGGTTAAGATATTTTAGACTTAGTATTTTTATTATTTTTACATAAGACACTTTAAAAAAATCTACAGTAGTTGGAAGGCTAAGGAGATTTAGGCTTAGGAGTTAGATATGGTTGAAGTTGAAGATTATAATTATGATGCATATAAAAAGTTAAAAACTAAATTTACATATTCAAATTGATAATTCAAATTACTATTAGACATAAATTTAGTAATGATCCCAGACTTTCTCTGTTGTATTTCTTTACAGGCATTTCAGGTGACTGGAAGAATCAGTTCACTGTAGCCCAGTATGAGAAATTTGAAGAAGATTATGTCGAGAAAATGAAAGAGTCAACACTTAAGTTTAGATCAGAGATCTAGAGGGTATTTGCTTCTTAATCTCCTTTGGCTGGGACTAAAATTAGAGGGGGAAGAAAGCACATTCATGGATTAGTGAAATAAAATGTTGCATATGATTTTTCTGTATTTACATGGTCTACAGACCAAAGTTACCAATATCAAGTAATAATTCTCTTCATTAAAGATAGATTTGATGGGAGATGTCATTCTGTATATGTTTCTCATACTGGTTAATAATAAAGCACTGTTGGCCAATAGGAAAGGAAGATAGGAGGGACTAGGAGACAAGGAGAAAATAGGAAATAGTAAGGAGGAGTCAAGATGGAGAGTCAGGAGAGAGCTGGACACCAGCTGCCTCCCCGGTAAGAGAAGGCCATGTGAAAATACATAGATCAGCAAAAATGGGTTAATAATTAAAGGCAGAGCTAGCCGATAAAAAACTAGTACCTGGCCAACAGTATAATATCAAATACAGAGTCTCTGTGTGTTATTTGGGGCTGTCGCGGCAGCGGGACCAGACCGGGCAGCGGGTAGAAAAACAGTACTCGTTACATAGATTCATGCAGTAGTTTTCTGCTCAATTTCTGTTATCAAAAGAATACAATTTTAAGGGGCATGTTTCCAGTTTCAGTTACTTATAGTAACTGATGCTCTGCACATGGTCTTCTGTCTCTTGGGACATAGGTTTCTAAATGGTGTTGTTTGTCTCCATACTTAGAATACCTCCTAGAAAAAGGCTATACTTCATGAACTCTAGTTCTCAAATTTCATCTGTTGTTATTTTAGAAATTTACCCATCATGTCTTTAACATTGCCAAATTAATCAAATTTATAATACTTAGATATCATATTTCTCCTTATGGTTAGTTTTAGAAATATGTCATTTAAATGTATGAATCTGTAGCATATATTTTATAGGATTTAAAGCAAGGAAATTAGAGAGCTAATTATTTTTATTCTTCATGTCATATACTGAAGCTATTGTAAAAATTTATTGCAGAAAATACTGAGGTTTGTTCAAAATTCTTCAGATGGCTACTCTATCATCTACATTATGTCCAATTAGCATAATTTCTGAATGTAAACTCTGTATAATTACTTTCAGTAACCTTCCTTCTTCTTGACTGGCTTTTGGATATTAGGATCATTTTGCTCTCACTCCTTCTGAAATTCCTAAGTGAAATAAACATGCATTTTTGAACAATCAAGAGGTACTGTTGGCAAATGGAAGGCAAAATAGGTGGAACTAGGAGTCAAGAAGGTTTCTGGGAGATGTAGTAGAGAGGAGTCAAGGTGTAGGTACTTGAGAGAAGGGGTCAGGACCCTCTCTCTGGTAAGATCAGACCATGTAGAAATACTTAGATTGATAGAAATGGGAATACACACACCCACATACATACATACATACATACATATATATTATTTTTATTGTAATTTTACATATTGACCCCAGTTCCCTCTCCCTCCCTTCATCTTTCCCTTTCTTCCACCCTCTCATGCACCCTGACCACCCTACCCTCACATCTTCCCCCACTCCACAGGTAGGGTGATGCCTTCCAGAAGGGGTCATCTAAATCTGTCCAGTCATTTGCAATAAGGACTAGGCCCTCTCTCCTGTCTCTAGGAAGGGAGTATCCCTCCATGGGGAATGTGCTCCAAAAGTCCTTTTGTGCACAAGAAACTTCATCTATTTTCAGTGTTTGAGATAGCATGAGCACGTCCTATACAGTCTAAAGCCAAATAAAATCCCAGTAACAAGAAGGGAGTCAAGTGAAACCCTTAACCTAGAGTATCCCTCCATGGGGAATGTGCCCCCAAAGTCCTTTTGTGCACCGGAAATACACCCTGGTTCCACTGTCAGAGGTCCTTTAGACTGCTTGGGCCTTCTAGCTGAGTGAGACCCATGTTCAGGAGGTCTGAGTATGTCCCATGCTGGATTCCCAGCTATCAATCTGGGGGCCCATTAGATCCTCCTTGTTCAGGTCAGCTGTCTCTGTGGGTGTCTGTAGCATGGTCTTATCCTCCCTCTCTGCATCTGATTTCCAGTTCAGCGCCATGTTCAGTTGTGCATGTTTACTTCTGTTTCTATCAGCTACTAGATGAGGGCTCCATGATGGTGGAAAATTAGTTGTCGATCTCATTATCAGGGAAGGGCATTTATGGTAGCCTTTCCACTGTTGCTCAAATTGTTTTATTTGGGGTCAGTCTTGTTGGTCTCTGGACATTTCTCTCGGTTCACTTTTCTCTTCAAACCTATAATGGCTCCCTCTTTTGTGGTCTCTCTCTCTCTCTCTCTCTCTCTCTCTCTCTCTCTCTTTCTCTCTCTCTCCTCTTGTCTATTCCTCCCCTGATTCAATCTTCCTAGTCCCACATGCTTTCCTCTCCTCCCCTTCTCTTTCTCCTAGTTCCCTCTCTACTCACTCCCCCCCACTCCCCATATTCTCTGGAAATCTTCTAGAAACAGGTTAATATTTAAGGCAGAGCTAGCCAATAAGAAATGCTAGTAACTTGCCAACAGCTTTATATTTAATACAGCATCTCTGTGTGTTATTTGGGGCTGACATAGCTGTGGAACCAGACTGGCAGAAAAACTGCTTATAACAACTGAAGGTTATGAGGATGTCTAGTGTTTATACTGCAGCCAGAAGACATATTGATGTTCAAGGTCCACCCTGAGCTGGCTCCACTAGCCATCACATGACATCAGTAGAATTAACCCCAACGGCGTCAGTGTAGGAGATTTCAGCACAGGCAAGCTGGCCATGGTGGTGTGGGTGTGAGAGAACCAGCCATGGTTGCAGGAGAGCTGTCCCTGCCCTTTGCTGCAGAAACACTGGAGGTCTGACCCCACTCTTGCTGGCTAATGTATATGAGAGAGCTGGCCACATCCTTTTGTCAGGTGGTGAGGGAAAAAAATCAATAAATTCATATTTCAATTACAAAAATAAATAAATAATTAAAAATAAATGAAGTAGGAAACCTATAGTGGCAAAAAAAGAAAAAGAAAAGAAAGAAAAGGAAAAGAAAAAGAAAGTAAGTAAGAAAGAAAGAAAGATAGGAAGAAAGAAAGAACGAACTAAAATTCTGGCACCAATTAATGTGATGTCAGAATTTAATGAAGAACCTGAAGGGATATGGGAGAAGCTTTAAAACAGCAACCTGGGCAATATTGAAGTAGGACAAGCTAGTCTGTTTTATATTAATATCCTGATACTAGTAGTGTGCCTTCGGTTTACCTGATGCTACTATTGGAGAAAATGTATTGAGTTACAATTTCATATCATTCCATGTTGATTATCTTAAATTTCACCATTATGCTAAATAAATGTCTTACTAATTTTAAATATTCTAAGGTTAAAATAATTTTAAGTGAAAACAATAAGGACTTTCTGACATAAATTTTATGAATTGATTTAAAGTATTTCTAAGGCTTTATATTAGTAAATGCTGTAGGGAATACACAAAACTAAAGACATCAGTTAATTGATTGTGTTCAAGTCTTGATGGCACATAGGCTGGTAGAATGGTAAATAGGTGAGTAAATGCTGCTCTTCCTTACCACAGTTATAACAATCCAGAAAGAAACACTTACTATTGAGGAGCTATCATTTAATTGAATGCCACAGCATTGGGCTCATGCTAATAAAATTAGTTGGCTTTATCATATTTTCCAGTCTCTGAAGTAGTTGGTTTGCTAGAATGGTGGAATGGTCTTTCAAAGACTTAATTGCCTGTCAGTTAGGGAACAATGACTTATAGAGTTGAAACAAGTTTCCAAAGAAGTGTGCATATTTGCTTTGAATCAGCATCTGAGTATTTAGTAGAATTTATCCCATAACCAGGATTTATAGAATCTGGAGTCACAAAGTAGAAATAGGAAAAGCACTACTCACTGTTGTTCCCAATGTCTTCCTAACCAAGTTCTTCTCCTTCTATTGTGACCTTATGCTACAAATTTCTTTATTAGAATGAGTCCTTAACAACAACAAGGATATGAAGTTTGGAGTGCATGTGTTTAGGGTCATGTAAACAATCAAAGACATATTTCATTGTTTACAAGTATCTGCATAAACAGCTACAAAAACAAGATCATAAATGCCATGAGCATTTTTTCCAACTCAGTTTAGATCATGTGTATGCATATGTAAGTAAATATTCTTGCTTTCTGTTATAATACAACAGTGCTACACATTATATAAAGATAGTGTGGCTATGTTCCAATAACAAATGTATTTCTTGTCTGAATTTTGAGAACATAAAACTATACTCATTGCCAAGTATAACAGAAAACACATCATTTTACATTATCCAATCTTTCTGCCTATATACTGGTTTTATGGGTTCCTCAAGATAGTTGTCATCCTGATTAACTTTGTTAACACTAAGAAAATTATTATAACCCTTCCCAGTGTCAGAAGAATATTTCTTCCTTTCAAAGTTGGACATAGAGTCTCTACGTTCAGGTACCATATTTGGGTGAAAACATACTTACTCGCCAACTTCACTTACCTCACTAGGCGGTGAACTTTCACTATACCATGACTGAGTGGCAGATTGATTGGCAATGTTTAGGTTGTGACACATTTCTGTTTAGACTATTTTGAAGGTTTTTGGCTCTTTGGTTGGTTACATTCATTGTGTTTCTCAACATCTATGAGGCACACATATCTCAGAACTCCAGCATTAACTTTTCCAAGATCATTCCAGAAAGGTATATCATTAGGCAATACTATGCTAATCTTAAAATACTGAAGGGAATCTCTCTCTCTCCTCTTCCTCCTTCCTCTTGTTTCTCCTCTCTTGCACTCTCTTTTTTTCTCAGTAATATCCACTGAATGAATATATATTAAACATAGCTATAATATATTAAAATATGTATTATGTATATACATATATGAAAGAGATAGGTAGATAAAATAGAGTTATCTGACCAAACTGTCACTAGAACTAATCTTTGCATCTAAGCACAAATATATATATATATACATATACATATGTGTATATGTATATATATATATATA